TTTTGTTACAAAAAGATTGTTAATAAAAATTCGGAAAATACTTTATTTAAAATTCCGTATTAAAAGTTATAGTTTATGTGGCAAGTATTATAATAATTAATTAAAGACAATGACGGTATGTGTATACAGTTTTTGTTCACGAAATTAACATTCATGTCTTAGATATCACAATGTCACAAGTGAATTTAATATGTTTTTGCAAAGTTCCAAATTTTATATTAGAGCTCGTTACAGAATTTGCAAAACGCCTTATTTTATCTGGTTTTTACAATGAAACGTACTTGTGAAGTATATAATATTAAATATTTATTAATTGAATTCTTAAATTATGTTTCGTGTTAAATCATTAAAAGTTAATGTAAATATTGCGTTATTTTCATGTTCATAAGTAATTGAGGCTCGATCGCAATTGTTTCTAGCATCAAATATAAGATATATAAATGTTGTAATTCGTACCGATGGAGAGTAATGATTTTTAACGTGGAAAGTTATTTCTCATCAATTTGCGTAGCATCCATCCGAGATGCCTATTTTGCTATATTGAATCTGGGAATTCTCGACCAAGGCTGAAATTAATCGATTAATTAATTAAGAGTTTTTTTTATTCCTTGGAAGCAGTGATTTCGGTAATAAGTTAACGACAACGACAATATAATTTTTTTTAAGTCTAATTATGAAATCTATTAAATATAGTATGTTCTGAGATAGGAATTTATTCTTCTTATTAAATATTCTTTCATTAATTAACATTAATATTGCTTTGACAATAATAAGATTTAAAGAATTGAACATGGATAACAATTGTTTATAGATAAGTAAATTACGTTAAATAAACTAAAATTACAAGTTTTGTTTAAGTAGTCGGTTTTACAACTTTTTTTAAGAAAAAATGTGGTTACAAATGAATATATATTTTTTTTAATCTTTAGTTTCTTTTAAGAAACTGTTTTTAGGCACTGGACATCCCTTTATTCTTAAACATTAATTGATTAAAAAATTTTTTAATTTAATTTATATAATGAAATATATATACGCAGTCTATATATTATGCAAGAAATTTTTAGCTTCTATTTATTTGATAAAATTTTATCACAAATATTCATATTTATTTAAATAATTTATTGTAATAATTTATTGTAATAATAGATGTAATTAAAAATTCAAGACGAATCGATTGGGTACCCCG